GTTGCTTTTCCAGTGTTCGCTTCTCCAGGCTTTTCACCTGTAGGGGCATATATTTTCTGATTGTACTGGTGTTTGCGTTTGATTGGGGTTTTTTGACCCCCCTCCTTTAGCTGATCTACTTTTCATACCTGACGGCTCTCCTGCTGTTTTTCTAACAATGCACAGGGTACCCTAGTACTCGTCCCCAGGGGGGCTCCCCTTTTACTGTACAGTTCCATGACCCCTACTGTATAACCCTGAGGGCAAAGAAAAATTTGACAGTTCCAAGCTTCTTTGAAAACACCCAAATTGTGTCATTGTCCCACCCACCCCATCGCTCAGACTTTCAGCATTTTTAAACTGGGACTTTCAGCAATGGAAAATAATTTTAAAAGTCCTGCCGTGAATCACGGCGACTCACTGTCCCAGGGTTGGGGGGGTGGACTTTCCTCCAGCGCCCAAACCCCCTCCTCATCCACAGGATCCCACCACTCCCCTGGTTCTCTCGGACTTCCGAGAACCATCAAGTCACGTGGCTGATCACCTGGGCACCCCGTCACAAGCCATGTACCCTGCTGCTTCCTCCTTTCAGTCCTCTGGGATCTCAAGGTTCCGCCTCTTTCTTTTGGGCACTGCCAGCCCTCCAATTCACCTGCACATCACCGGCTCAGCTCCGACCCCTGGCAAGGCTCCAGCACCTCTCCCCTCCAGCCACCACTATCCGCAAGACGGGCCCCACGCTCTCAGGAGGCACCGCACTGGGAGCTGTGAATGCCCTCCACCACACAGGGCACGGGCTTTCAGGTAAGGGTCAGGCCATTCTCAGTCCACACAGCACGGGATCCAGCAGCATTCACTCCTCGGCAGGGCATCTGGAGCTCCCACTACACGCTGCTCAAAGCGCCATGTTCAGGCCCCTGCCCCGGACCGGATTGGTTTGGCGGGTGTAAATGGAGGTGAATGGAGGGTCTGATCAGGTGCATGAAAAACTGACAGGCAGACCTGATCAGACCCTTCGTGTGAAAGGGGCCTTACAATGTGTGGAGCCAGTGGTCTTGCTGTAGACCACTAGGTCTCCCCTACTGGGTCAAGGCGAGATCTCTCCAATCAGCAGTATGTAATTTACTACCCATAGGTCTGACTCAGCAGGGGTGTGTGAGACATTTTTTGTAATAATGAAAGGTTGCCTGTTAAAATATTTTACACAATTCACCTGCAGGTGTCTTGAGAGGAACAAAGCTGATCTGTAATGAGAGTGTCAGTCTCCAGGAGGCGGATGGATGAAGCAATGGCACGGGATTCTGCAACACAGAAAAAAAGTCTGTGAAACACATGACCACCCAAAATGATATGTGCAATGTAAACTGTAATAAGCAAAAATGGCTAAATAAATGTGTGACATTCACTCATAAATGTAATAAATGTGTCACTGACAAGTTTATCATTTTATCTAGCCAGCCCTGTGATTTACACACTTGTCATTCTGTATGGCCAGAAACATGACTGCTGCTTTCTTGTGTAGTTTTAGAACTTCTTGATTCAGCTTTACTGTTTCATGGCTCACCGATCCTTGATAATACAAATGATTCAGTGTCCAGCAAGCAGGCCAGAATTGGAGAGGGGGCATTCCTAAACCAAGAAACAGCTTGCCTGGTTGTACTCTGCCAGATGTGTGTAAATCACAAGAACTGCTTTACAGAATTCCAAACCATAATGGCAGGTAGTATAGAAAAGCCATATGTGTAAGTTCACATGAGAAGGACAGTCCTGACCCTCCTATCTTGCATTGTATACTGACTTTACTGTCTCCTTTTATTCTGTAAAGCACCATGCAAACTATTGTAACTATAAATCTCGTATAATAATAAATGAGCATAAGCGGTTTGCCTGGCGTTCCAGTTAAACTGTATGTGGAGCAAAGGGCTCAGACATCAAGCTAATTTTTGAAAGCAGATAAACTAATGGAAATCTCACCATTTGCTTGTGTGACGTCAGCAGTAGTGGTGATCATGGTCTCTTCTGCCACACTTCTCTTATTGCGAAGGTCTTGAAAAGGCAGGCTGTTGGGGCTGTGTTTAGTTTTGCTCTGAGTGTACTGGGGTGGGGGACTTACAGGGCGAGCTGGAGTTTGTAAATGGTTGCGGCTCTTATCCAGGACCCGGGATTTTGCCTTTCTAATGGTGATTGATGAAGCATTGTCTGTAAAAGAGATTTAGAGATGGAATTTTTCATGCATGCAAGTAACTCGAGTAGTGGATAGAGCGAGAATAATGCTGCCTACACTATCTTTAAGGGCACACAAAGTTGATGGGGAGGTCTGTGATCATAAAAAGAATAAAATACCCCTCACTCCTGTACAAAAAGGACTCCTGTCCCCAAACCCTATGCCCTGTGCATGAATGTCTCCTTCCCATTTGGTGGTAACTGATAAAACCCAATATATCTAAGTGCTGTCTAAGGCCTAGCAGCACACCCACATACATGTCAGCTGAAACTATAGATTCTAGGACTGGGATGTTTTGGCTTACAGAGGTTGGTCTTTGGCACACAGGATCCTAACATGAAGAAGTGAGCATGCAAACAAGATTTCACTCAAAGGTTCACAGTTAGGGCTGTGGTTAGTGATTCAGGGAAGGTTGGTGTGAGGTTAATGTTTGAGTTACAAAGAGGGTGAGATTTTTTAGGGAGGGTTAGTGTTGGGGTTAAAGGGATTGTTAGTGTACAGGTTATAGGGAGAGTTTGCGATATTAAACCCTCAGTTTTCTTTCAGCACTTTCAGCAGCTGATTTAATCACTTACTGAGAATGCAGCATCTTTATCATTCAATCTCTGCCCATGTTCCAGTTTAGGCTGGTTCCATGATGGCTGCCACAGGTTTCTTGTTTCAGGGTGGCTCCTTTTTCTTGCAGCATCCTATGGCGCCACCCTTGCATTCAGGGACTTGTGTTTTTCTACACTATGTGCATCAATAGAAATACACAGCCCCATAGTCTAAGATGGCAAGGCTCTCCCCTAATTTCTTCATAAGGACAATCCTCACCTGTTACTGCGCTCTCAGCACGAGAAGCTGTTTTTTCCATATGTGACAGCAGGAGAAGTAGAGATGCCAGGAGAACTGGAGCAACAGATAGCTTGACACGGTGGATTGAGACAAAGGTCTATTGTGATGGAAGGATTCTGATTATGTAGCCAATCTTCTATAAAGTAAACCATACAAGTGCGTATTAGTCAAATCCATAAGAAAACCAAAACATAAGCCGAGAAAACGGACTGACCTGTACTTTTTGTGCTGTTGATAGGTGGGGTGGTGGAACCTCTTAGCTGTGTGGTATCGAAGTTTTGACTTGAGCTATAGAATAAAATATAAGAGACGTATGGATTATGGGGTGAGAATGCCAATGGACTCAATTCTAGAAACTTTCTAGATGCCAATGGTGATATAAGCCAAAGAGACATACCGTGCACATACAGCAAAAGGGAGAGTGAGGTGGATCTTTCGGAAGAAAGTCAGAGTGCAGGTACCAGGTGGAGTGAAAACACTGCCAGAGGTAGACAGCAAGAAGGGGACAGCACCAAGCAAAGGAGAAGGAAAGGAGGTACAGAAGTCAGTGCAGATAAAGCAATAACAGCTCAAATTAAACATTCTGGCTCCTTCACTCTAAACTATTTTGCGTAATAAAGTGCCTTGTTTTAATTTAAGGCAGTCTATTCATTTTGAATTGGCTCCAAACAAACAGCAATGCTCAAAATTCTGAACCTGCAGCATTTCTTAATGTAAGAATCCATAGCATGTGCATTGTGGTGTGCTGCAGCATGGCTCTATTGTAGACTACTGTAGCTGTGCATTGGGATGCCATTGTAAACAAGTGGCCCCACACAAAGTTCCTGCACACAGCAAGACACATGTTACTGCAACATATAGGTTTGAAGGGGTCCTGAAGAATATCACTGAGGCTAGCAGTCTTCCAGACAAATGTATGGGTCCAACATTAAAGAGACCCTGTCACTAACTGAAAAAACTGCAGGTGAAAGTACTGGAATTTCAAGTGTTTTACATGTTTATTTGTAGTGTTTTCCCTTCCATAAAATATTTTTTATTCACTTGCAATGTGTCCTCGAGCTTGCCAGGAAACTTGACTACTTTAGAAGTGTCAATTCCCTAACAGAGCCCCCTCCATGATTGTACATCTAAGCCTTCTCCTCTTCTGGTAGTGTCCAAATAATATCTGTGCTGGCCCAGCTTCTCTGCCTTTCCCTTCACCTCCCTAAATAATCTTTTATGTACCTGTCGGTGAGCAATGACAAGGAATACTACAAAATATTACTTAAGTGACATCTGAGTCTGCTTGGGCTGTGGATATCACATCCAAGATGGTGGCATCTAGCAACAATGTCAAAACCTTTTATAAGTCTACACGAGGGAGGATTTTACAGGTAAATAACATGCATAAAATATGGTAAATGTTCATGTAACATTATAGGACAATTGTGTTGACCCCATTAAAAGGAAACTATTGTATATTTTAGGAAGAACACTTTTTTTTGGAGATGTTTTATTTATAATGATGCACACCAAGTAAAGTGAAAGTATAACCAAAAGGCAAAATCCCACATTTTAGCTTGTCCCTGGAAAAGTAAAAGAGGGGAAATTTTCCAATGGGAGCACTAGTTCTGGTGACCTGGGGGACCATGATTTTAGCAGTTAACCATTGACCTATTGACAGGGGGTGCTGGTTGTTTCCATTTAGTTGGGATCCACAGCCTGGCTGCATCAATCAAATGCATCATTACTGATTTTTTTGTATTGGATTAACTAGGGAGCAGAAACTTTAACACAGTGTTTACCTTACAATTGTGGTTTATCTGATTTTTATTTATTTCTTTACTTGCTTTTAACCATCTCCCGCCTGCCATATAGTAATATGATGGACGCAAGGTGGTTCTCTCGGCTAAGTGCGCTGTGTCCCTTGGACACAGCGGATCACCAATCCACGGAAAGAGCTGAAGATGTCAGCTCGGTCATGTGATCAGCTGTGTCCAATCACAGCATTTCTCATGTCCTCTCGAGCTGTCACGTTGACAGCTCGAGAGGAGAGCTGGTAATCGGCATTCTGCGAAGGGGACATGTACACTGATCATCAGGGCACTGATGATCAGTGTGCCCTGATGATCAGTGTAGCGCCAGCAGTGCCAACTGTCAGTGTCCATCAGTGCCACCTGCCAGTGCCCATCAGTGCCACATCAATGCCACATATCAGTGCCTACCAGTGCACATCAATGCCACATATCAGTGTCCATCTGAGCTGCCTTTCAGCGTCACCCATCAGTGCCAGTCAGTGCCACTTATCAGTGCTGCCAATCAGTGCCGCCTATCAGTGCGCATCAGTGCCGCCTATCAGTGCGCATCAGTGCCGCCTATCAGTGCCCGTCAGTGCCGCCTATCAGAGCCACCTAACAGTGCCAGTCAGTGCCGCCTCTCAGTGCCATATATGAGTGCTGCTTTTCAGTGCCCATCAGTGATGTCTGTCAATGCCCATCAGTGCCACCTACCAGTGCCTCCTCATCAGTGCCACCTATCAGTGTAGCCTATGAGTGCCCATCACTGCAGCCTCATTAGCGCATATCAGTGAAGGAGAAAAATCACTTGTTTACAAAATTTTATAACAAAAACTAACATTTTCAGTGGTTTTTGGTTTAAGAAAAAAATAAAAAACCCAGAGGTGATTAAATACCTCCAAAATAAATCTCTATCTGTCACAAAAAATGATAAAAATGTCATATGGGTACAATGTTGCATGACCGCGCAATTGTCATTCAAAGTGCAACAGTGCTGAAAGCTGGAAATTGGCCTGGGCAGGAAGGGGGTATAAGTGCCCTGTAGGCAAGTGGTTAATATTATTGTTATAATGTTAAATATACTAATATTTAGATTAGCTACTGGAGGGAGCTATGTATTTGATTAAGACTCGGCGAAACACCTTGATTAGAACCTGTTAACCTGCTGCCGCCTACATAACACATATGCAACTGCAAGAGAGTGGGCTTTAATGCCCACACACCTCACATATGTATTGCTGGGTGGCCAATGTTTCTGTAGTGCGAGCACGCTCACTGCGTGCGCCCAACATAAGAGACTGAGCTGTCAAAGACAGCTCTTGGTCCCCACTAGTGATCGGTAGCCAGCAGGACTATCTCTCGATCATGTGACCACTGTGACAGCCAATTATATTGGTCACATGATCACCAATTCCTCCGCCCCCCAGCCATTCAGAAACTTTTAAAAGGGACTCTGGGGCAGGCAGGAAGGGGTAAAGATATGAGCCACACGAGAAGTTAATTGTATTCAACAGGTCAGCTGACTCATATTCACATTTTTATAAGAAAAGGCAGCAAATCAATGTAGAGTATGACTATGCAATGAGTATAATATGTCTGCCCCTATCTACAGTATAATTACAAATTGTTTTGAAATATTTGGTTTGCACATATATTATATAAAAGCAAGCTCAGTTAATCATTTTACATATATAATTAAAAAATTATACATTCTATACATTTCCTTCACCTCCTTGCTGTAGTTACTATACCACAAGTCTATAGCCCCCATGCCTGAAGTGCTATATTGGGAAAATAACACTTACCCATCCATATCTAACAGATCATCCTCGCTGCGTAAATTCAACACATATAGCGTTGTCATGGAGATAACACTGGGAAGTTAAACACAGTAACTTGGTGAGAGAAACTATAATGTGTACATTCTATACATATAAATGAGCTTACCTAATAATCATACTATTTGTGTACCATGTACAATATTATATGCCATTATAATTATATTAATATAGGTGTAAAAAATGTACGGGATCCAAAGACTGTAATTATCTTTTAGGCAGAGTGCATCTGTAGAAACACACAGCCCCATAGCCTAGGATAGTTAGGAGCTTCTCTGCTCCTTCCTCCTTCTTCCCCTGCCTTCTTCTAACTAATAGACTGTCTCCAGATTGTACTGTCCACTGCCTTTCCTGTGAATGCTGGAAGTTCAGGAAAGCAGAACTGAGAGGGCAGGAGCCAACAGGATTGAAAGTTGTAAAATACAAGTGCTGGAGTGATAATTGTAACAAATTGGGGAATATTCATTTTATTGTGCTCAGTATGCTTTAAAAAAACAAAAAAAAACATGTTATACATACCTGCTCTATGAAATGGTATTGCAAAGAACAGTCCTGAATATCCTCTTTTGGGTTCCCCCTATCAGCGCTCTCTGCTCCTCTGGTTCTCTGTGCTCCCCCATAGGAAGCCACTTTCTATGGGAGTGTACCTGTGGGCTCACTCCTGAGCCAGACTGTGTGCATCTATGGACACACACAGCACAGCTCAGCCCTGCTCCTTGATCTCTGTTCAGAGAATTTTATTGACAGCAGCAGGAGCCAATGGCTCCCAATGCTGCCTTTGTGAGCAGAGAGAGAGGACAGAGCCGCTGCAGAGGAGCACTGTGCTGGATAGAGAAAGGACTTAGATAAGTATAAGTGGGGTGAAGGGGCAATACAAATAAAGGGACTTTTTTTAACTCAATGCAGGGAGTAAATAACAGAAATAGGAACTTGACACTTTAGCACTCTGAAATCGTGGGAGACGCCTGCCATTAGAACCACATGTACAGTGGGTATAAAAAGTCTACACACCCCTGTTAAAATGTCAGGTTTCTGTGATGTAAAAAAATGAGACAAAGGTAAATAATTTTAGAACTTTTTCCACCTTTAATGTGACCTATAAACTGTACAACTCAGTTGAAAAACGAACTGAAATCTTTTTTTTTTTTTTAGGGGGGGGGGATAAACATAAAAAACTAAAATAATGTGGTTGCGTTAGTGTGCACACCCTCTTATAACTGGGGATGTAGCTGTGTTCAGAATTGAACAAATCACATTCAAAATCATGTTAAATAGGAGTCAGTACACACCTGCCATAATTTAAAGTGCCTCTGATTAACCCCAAATAAAGTTCAGCTGTTCTAGTGGGTCTTTCCTGACATTTTCTTAGTCGCATCCTACAGCAAAAACCATGGTCCGCAGAGAGCTTCCAAAGCATCAAAGGGATCTCATTGTTAAAAGGTATCAGTCAGGAGAAGGGTACAAAAGAATTTCCAAGGCATTAGATATACCATGGAACACAGTGAAGACAGTCATCATCAAGTGGAGAAAATATGGCGCAACAGTAATATTACCAAGAACTGGACATCCCTCCAAAATTGATGAAAAGACGAGAAGAGAACTGGTCTGGGGGGCTGCCAAGAGGCCTACAGCAACATTAAAGGAGCTGCAGGAATATCTGGCAAGTACTGGCTGTGTGGTACATGTGACAACAATCTCCCGTATTCTTCATATGTCTGGGCTATGGTGTAGAGTGGCAAGACGGGAGTCTTTTCTTATGAAGAAAAACATCTAAGCCCGGCTCAGTGTTGCAAAAACACATCTGAAGTCTCCCAAAAGCATGTGGGAAAATGTGTTATGGTCCGATGAAACCAAGGCTGAACTTTTTGGTTTAATTCGTTTAGTGCAAAAACAACATTGCACATCACCAAAAGAACACCATACCCATAGTGAAGCATGGTGGTGGCAGCGTCATGCTTTGGGGCTGTTTTTCTTCAGCTGGAACTGGGGCCTTAGTCAAGGTAGAGGAATTATGAACAGTTCCAAATACCAGTCAATATTGGCTCAAAACCTTCAGGCTTCTGCTAGAAAGCTGAACATGAAGAGGAACTTCATCTTTCAGCATGACGACCCAAAGCATACATCCAAATCAACAAAGGAATGGCTTCACCAGAAGAAGATTAAAGTTTTGGAATGGCCCAGCCAGAGCCCAGACCTGAATCTGAAGGAAAATCTGTGGGGTGATCTGAAGAGGGCTGTGTACAGGAGATGCCCTCGCAATCTGACAGATTTGGAGTGTTTTTGCAAGTAAGAGTGGGCAAGTATTGCCAAGTCAAGATGTGCCATGCTGATAGACTCATACCCAAAAAGACTGGAATCCCATCAAAAGGGGCTTCAACAAAGGATTCGTGTAAGGGTGTGCACTCTTATGCAACCATATTATCTTAGTTTTTTATTTTTACTTCCCTCCGCCTAAAGGATTTCAGTTTGTTGTTCAGCCGAGTTGTACAGTTTATAGGTCACATTCCACAGGTGGAAAAAGTTCTGAAATTATTTATCTTTGTCTCATTTTTTTACAGCACAGAAACCAGACATTTTAACAGGGGTGTGTAGACTTTTTATATCAACTGTATAAACACCACTGTGCAACCTAGGCTGGAAGGAACTCCTCACATTGGGGAATCCATTACTGTATGAAAACAAGAAACAAAGAGGGTGCAAACACCAAGTGCATTATCCCTGACACTTTATTAAAGTGACGGACAACATGTTATACTCACAAGCCAAAAAAGCCAAAAATTTGGAGTCCATAAGTCCGCTCTCCAAAATCAACGAATGTGCAAATGACAACATCAGCCACTGCTCTGAGGAAGGGGGCCCCAAAACGCTTAAGCTGGGGTTGTCATCTGCATATTCATTATTATGCCATCTCATTCATTTGGTTGTGAGTATAACATGTTGTCTTTCATCCTTTAATAAAGTGTCAAGGATAATGAGCTAGACATTTCCGCCCTCTTTGTTTCTTGTTTTCATGCAAGGAATGCATTATGGTAAAAAATCTCCTGCCTTTAGAACCACTTTGATAATATTTTTTTTTTTTTAAATTTTTACAGTTAACAGTGTTTTATTCTAAAGTTAGCACTCATACTTTGGGCAATAACAAACAGCAACTTTTAGGGCCAGTACACACCACAAAAATGCATTCCGGATGCATTTTTGCTTACAGTTCACAACACACTCCATTCCAGGTGCATTTTTCATACGTTTTGCTATGTTCCAGTACAGGTCTGCAGAAAAAATATCAGCATGTTCTACTTTTTTTCTGCACCAGAACACACTGGAACTGACTGCACTGGTGTGAACTAGGGACATTAGAATACATAGAAAACACTGTGCATGCATTTTTGATGCAGAAATAAAACGCACTGGACTACATGTGGTGTGAACTGGCCCTTTAATGCTTTTGGGGAATCCTAAGACTTAAGACTCGAATACCTGAAAGCCATGATAATGACTAAGGCGATGATGGTTGCTTGGAGGAATCGCTGGCTGACACAGCTATGATCATGCGGGGGAGGTACCGGCTAAAGTGAACAATAGAAAGACAATGACATACAACCCCACACACAAATAATGACAGCTTTGTATCAACATCACTACATTTAAACTCACATGTAGATCCATACTGTGTCTAAACCCCCTACAGATAATACAGGTATACCTCGGTTTACAACACCTCGGTTA